CCAAAGCGGGCTCGTTTGCGCACTGCCTTCAGCCGGGTTTGATGCTTTACCTCCGTCTTGGGGCTCGGTGGGAGCAGGAAGACTGAGGATGGGGGACCCCCAGCCAAGGCGGGGTGGCTCGGTGCTGGTGAGCACCTGGCTGCCTCCAGGCTCACTCTGGGTGCCCCTGCACCCATGGGTGACCGTGCCCTACCTGAGATGGCTGCAGAGGTGGCAGCACCCACCTCTCCTCTGCTCTGGGAGGGCTCGGCCAATGTGCCTCCATTCAGAGGGGGACAGGGGGTCTGACGGTGCCTGGAGGGGCTCTCCTGACCCAGCTAGGGGCACCCTGAGACCCCCCCTGAGGACATACACACATACTCTGCCCACAGGGATGGGCAGGGACGTGTCACATCACACCCCACAAGCCACGTCCACCGCTGTGAGCCAGCGCAGGACGGTGGGGAGGACCCTCAGGGTGCGACCCCACTGGGTGACCACCCATTTGTCACCCCCGCCTCCCCCCCCCCAGGGTCTGCCCCGAGCCCTTGCACCCCGTGGGGATCCTGGGTGGGTCTGTCCCCACTTTGGGGAGCCCCTGGGACTTGGGGAGTGGGCAGGGGTCCGGCACATGCACCCCGAGGGGATGTTGGCACTATGGGGACGCTGCTGGCATCGCTCCTGCCAGGCTGGGTGGCCTGGGGAATGCCACCCACCCAGGACGGGGACAACGGCACTTGCTCCATCTCTTAGCCCCCAGGGACCCCAGTGCTGGCCACAGGGCTCACGGAGGTCCTGGACCAGCCCCAGTGCCTGGGTCAGCCTGACTGGAAAGGGATGTTCTGGGGCTCAGCATCCCCCCAAGGAGGGGGGGTCCACTGTCTGGCTTGAGGCCAGGCCCTTGCCCAATGCAGCAGGGATGTGCCCAGTAAGGGGGGACAGGATGAGGGGTCCCCATGAGGAGCTGGGGGGTGAGCCCCAGAATGGGGTTATCGACTTCCTGCTCCCACCGAGCCCCAAGACGGAGGTAAAGCATCAAACCCGGCTGAAGGCAGTGCGCAAACGAGCCCGCTTTGGCTAACGAACTGTGTCATGGCTTCC